CTGTTGCTGCTGCTGCTGTTGCTGCTGCTGCTGTTGCTGCTGCTGCTGTTGCTGCTGCTGCTGTTGCTGCTGCTGCTGTTGCTGCTGCTGCTGCTGTTGCTGCTGCTGCTGTTGCTGCTGCTGCTGTTGCTGCTGCTGCTGTTACTGCTGCTGCTGTTACTGCTGTTACTGCTGTTACTGCTGTCGCTGTTGCTGATGCTGTTGCCTGAGCAGTCTGTTCGTACCGGCCCTTCCAATATGCTGGATAATGTAACAACAGCCGCCTTGCATGGAAATGTATAGAATATGCAGTTTGAGCATGGCCACACGTCAAAGTTATTCCCGTGGAGTAAGCTACAGTGGCTCAGTGTGAGTCTGTAACCCTACGTCTGTTTTACTGATATTTGCGCATCTCCATGTTGTCCCTGTGGGTGCATGCCCGTGTGTATATGACTGATGGCACTGATTCCACCTCTACTGTTGCTGCTGCTGCCGTTGCTTGTATTCTTGTTGTGTTGGTAGGTTGGAAAGCTTGAAGAGCGCGAGCCAAGTGGAGCACTAGTACCAAGTTCAGCTGGCACTGGTATGATGGGTGCCCCGCCCATGGAGGCTGGTGTTCTCCTACACAACATACAGAGAATCATACAGGTATGGTGCCGGTGATCCTATCGTGTGCGTGTGTATGTCTGTGTGTTTGTGTGTGTTTACCTGTGTCTGTGTGTGTCTGTGTGTAGGGGGGGGGGGGGGGGGTGTTACATGTATGCTTGCGTATATGTCAGCTTGCTGTACGCTATGATGCGTAGCTGTGGAGGAGCATTGCTACAGCCTACAGGTGTTGACTGGTCAGGTACAGGGTTTCCCTGTGAGTAATGTGTGTACTAGCACTCTTCCTCTCTGTGGATAGTGCAATGAGTGTGTTAGCACTCTTCCTCTCTGTGGATAGTGCGTGTGTTAGCACTCTTCCGCTCTGTGGATAGTGCAATGAGTGTAGTGTTTATTAAAAGGAGACCGCTCTGATAAGGCTGCAGAAGGAGACCGCTGTGATAAGGCTGCAGAAGGGGACCGCTCTGATAAGGCTGCAGAAGGAGACCGCTCTGATAAGGCTGCAGAAGGAGACCGCTGTGATAAGGCTGCAGAAGGGGACCACTCTGATAAGGCTGCAGAAGGGGACCGCTCTGATAAGGCTGCAGAAGGAGACCGCTCTGATAAGGCTGCAGAAGGAGACCGCTCTGATAAGGCTGCAGAAGGAGACCGCTCTGATAAGGCTGCAGAAGGGGACCGCTGTGATAAGGCTGCAGAAGGGGACCGCTGTGATAAGGCCCAACACATGTTCATGTTCTTGTTTGGTGTGCGTTCGTGCATGCATGTCTGAACAGGAGAGTGAACATTTGAAGAAGGAAGTGTTTGAGAAGAGTGCTCGGATTGAGATGCAGAATGCCAAGATTGCTGAGCTACTCGAGCGTAATCAACAGTGAGTGTGGATGTAGACACTGTGTTTGTATGAGCTTAAGACGGACACATTCCTTTGTTGTTTAACGGACACATTGCTCTGTTGTTTAACGGACACACTGCTTTGTTGTTTGACGGACACATTGCTCTGTTGTTTAACGGACACATTGCTCTGTTGTTAACAGACACATTGCTCTGTTGTTTAACGGACACATTACTTTGTTGTTTAGCGGACATATTGCTTTATTGTTTAGCGGACACATTGCTTTACTGACACTGAGTGTATATGGGCGTAGTAGTGGCCCGCGGGTGCGAACGTCTTTGCTTGATGTATTCCTCAACACGCCAGGTGATGCGACTGCCAATCCGGCGAACTTTACTTTTTTTCTGTTGCTGATCTGTGTTTGCTGCTGCTGCTGATGATGATGATCTGTGTGCACTGCTGCTGCTTAGGTTTGTGGAAAAGAGTAACCTGGCTCTGGAGCATCGCAATGACACGTTCAAGAGCACGACAGCACAGACACAGTCACGGCTACTCCAACTCGAGCAGGAGAAGGTGGAGCTGACGACGGAGCTCAGCTCTGTCAACACGAACTTTGCCTCACTACAGCTGGCCCACGGTAATCTAGTTCGCTCCGAGTCCGAGCTCAAGCAGCAGCTGGCAGCCGCAGCGTCCGAAGTGCAACAGCATGCATCTCAGTGGGCGCAGGCAGCCCAGGCACAAAAAGGTATGCCACAGTGTGATGTCCTGTTACGTGTATGCACTGTGAATCCGCGTTTGTATTATGTTCAGTGGATCAGTGTGTGTATTATGTATTATGTGTATTTTCACTGTCGATCAGTGTGTATTTTCACTGTCGATCAGTGTGTATTTTCACTTTGCATCAGTGTGTATTTTCACTGTCGATCAGTGTGTATTTTCACTTTGCATCAGTGTCTATTTTCACTGTCGATCAGTGTGTATTTTCACTTTGCATCAGTGTCTATTTTCACTGTCGATCAGTGTGTATTTTCACTGTCGATCAGTGTGTATTTTCACTGTCGATCAGTGTATATTTTCACTTTGCATCAG